ACTGCCCCCATACACACAAGCTGCCCCTCATACACACAAAATGCCCCTCATACACACGCACTGCCCCCACATACACACGCTGCTCCCCCCATACACACAAACTGCCCCCCATATACACACACTGCAACTGTTACACACACATACTGTCCCACACATACACTGCATCCCTGACATACACTGCCGCCCTCACTCACACACTACAACCTTCACACGCACACTGCACCCCTTACACATTGCACCACTCACACACACCACTGCTCCTATGCCCTACTACAGCCCCATTTCCCAGCAGATCTCAGGTAAGTTGTCAAACTTAAACTTAAACGGTTTGACTACTTACTGTGGGAGGGGGTCCCGGCACTATTGACACCATAACCACTACACTGAGTGGTTATTGTATCTGGATTATTTCTTTAAATAATCTACAAGTGCCCCTCCCGAGATCATGCCCTGGATCCGCCACTACCCTTCCCTCCCTGTCAATTCCTCCCCCCCCCCTCCCCTACCTTGGCTGTAGCGTGGCCGAGCCCTGTATGGTCCACGGGTACAGGGAGCTTTTGCACACTCAGTGTGCACTTCCTGTTAGTCCGGCCGGGTACAGGAGACAGATGCTCCCTGTACCAGCGACCATGATACAGGGCTCTTCCACGCTTCAGTGAGGGAGTGACAGGAGGGAGCGCCGAGCGCTTCCCTCCTGTCAGCCCCTCTCCTCAGGCTGCGCCCGGGCGGTGCGGTCCGCCCTCATGGACGCACCGCCCGGGCAAAGCTGCAGCCGCCTGAGGCTCTCTACAGAGCGCTCGGGTGGCTGCAGCATGGGGGGGCCGGCTGAGCTGGGGGGGATTTCCCCATAACCTGTCCCCCCGGCATGATTTGCTGGGGGGGATGCGTCCCACTCATCCCCCCCGGTTCCTACGCCCATGTTTTAGGGCCCCTTGTATTGCAAGGATGGCCAAAAGGTAGATCGACATCTCTTGTACAACTCCTGCAATGCTTTGCTAGCTGGGGATCTAGCATTTGCTCATCCTTGCAGGATTATATTCAGTAATGAGCAGTGTTTGTGTGTTTGAATCCAAACTTGTTTTTGATTGGAGAATGTGTGTGTGTCTAGTGTGTGTTTTTATATACTGTAGACATTTTTAAGCAGTGGTTTGTTTGCGTGTAGTGTTTGCCTTTGAATGCAGGGGTGTGTCTGTATGTAGTGTTGACATTTGAATGCTGGGATGTTTGCACATATACATAGATACACATATACTGATACACACACACACACACACTGACATACATTCAGATACAGACACTCAAGCATATACACAGATACACACACATATTCAAGCTCTGACACACATACGGATACACACGTAATAAGGTACAGTCACGCAGATACACAGACACACAAAGCCATACTCACTGACACACATACCGTTAAACAGTCACACAGATACACAAGTACAGAAAAACAGATACACACACTTACACACATGCAGATACACAAGCACACAGATACACACAATAAAACATACCGATACACACACACACAATAAGACATATGCAGATGCACAGGTACATACACAGGTACACACAATGACACTCAAACACAGACACACAGAATGATACACACTCAACATATAATGACACATTCAGATACACAGATTGACACACATTCAGATACACAGAATGACACAGAATTAAACTTATACAGATACAAACTGACACACATACTGATTCACAGATACACATGCAGATACACATACACACAAACAGACACATGGACAAAAGATATGCTTACAGATACACATACACGAATACGTAGACACAAAGATACACATACAGACAGACATGCAAATTTCAAAGACACATGTACAGACACACATGTAGATACACAGATACACTTAAAGACACACAGACACAGATACAGATAGATACACATATAAATAGATAGACAAACACATATACAGACATGTAGACACGCATGCACACTCCTATTTCCTACCTTTAGAGTGCAGAAGTGGTGCCTTCCCTGTGGTCCAGTGGGCTGCCTGAGGCTGTTGGGAGTCAGATATTCTCCCACACCGCTCCTCTCTGTCTTCCTCCCGCACTGATCATTATATATGGTACACTGTATAGAGCATGTTTATATGTAAATGAGAATGTCAATAACATGTGGAAATTAAGCAGTTATTCCCCTTTTAATTGTAATTTTGGCAATTTTTCTGCTATATATATTTTACTGTCTCTTTAAATTTAGAACAAAACAAGAAGATTAGTGTAGGAATGGCTAAGTTTCTACATGCTGACATTCTCATATAGAAAGTATATGTGATACCATGCACTATATATTTATACGTGTTTATCTTTTTCTTCCCCCCTTTTTCTTCCCCCCTTTTTTTCTATTATTGCCCTTTGTCTACTGAGGATGGAGGCTTCCTCCCTTCCTCTTTGAGGAAGTGTGGGCAAAGACATAATGTACCGCATTTGCCAGGACTTTGTTTGTTCCGAAAGTGACGAGCGGATTTATTCCGCCGCGTCACTTCCGGTTTTCTATTTAGGGTGATTACAAATAAGGAAAATGGCCGCGGCGAACACGGAAGTGACGCGGGGTATGACACCGCGCCACTCCGATTGCCTGAACGGACTTCAGGTGAGGTGCTCCACATCATCAAGAAGAAGCCATCTGATTGGATCACGGAAGTGAAGACCCGTCTACCGGAAGAAAAATACCGGCAAATTTAAACAGCAAGAGTTTGGACACAGTGAACCCGATTGAGAAAGCCCACATAGCGTGGGTGAAACGCGTCTCGGAGCTGAAGCCAGATTTGGGATTTTACAGCTACTTTTTGCATAAGTATTTTACTTTGTTTTTATATTTACAATAAATTTGTTATTTTTTTATACATATCCCTATTGGCCTTTGGTCCTATCTTGCTGTAAAAGAAGGGTAAGTGCCCCCTTTTAAAGGCACTCAAGTCTACCATCTAGAGCCAGGTTCTCATTGGCTCTGAATCAGGTGAGCACTATCATAATCACTGTCTGTGCACTACCTATTATATACATAGTACACTAGGAGGTCTTCCTCCCTTGTTTTTTCTCTTTTTTCTTTGAGGAAATTTACTCCAGTTAAAGGGTGCAGTGTCTCCATACGATACTAATGCTGAAGAGATTTGAGCCTGTCCTTTTATGAGGCTCTAATCCATGTGAGTTTGACTATTGATATATTATCACAAGATTCCTTCTACTCACGGATTTACACTATATTGTGTTGTATTTCTCTGTTTTATTTGCATGTACATATATACATCTGAAATTGAACCCTAATTAAGGGTAAGTGTGATTGTTCAGCGCTCCACTCACTTGACTAGTACGGTCTGGATTTTTATCCAGTCCATACTGGACTCACTGTGTTTTACTTCTATATCTTAGTGGGGGATAGAGAGCACCCACTAGAGTGTGTAGCTGCTTGTATACCACATTATTATTCTTATAAGCGCACTAAACACAGTAATCATTATTTTTTGCATCTTATATTGTGTTCTCTTTTCACTGTGTGTGCTGCTACCTTCGAAAAATATGACAGTGTTTAACAACAGGGTTAATTGTGGTAAAAATATTGATACCCTATTTGATGATCAAGGTACCTCCCTCCAGAACGAATATACGTTAAGCTTTGATAAAAAAAAGAGTCAACATGATTTAGAAAAATTATTGAATAGGGAGATAAAAATAAAATGGGAAGTTGCCACAATGAAGAAATACTTACGGGAAAAGATTATCCCTAGGGGACTAAGGTTCACAAAGAACCCTTCATTTGATCAGGATGAACAAGAATTTGTTCAGGAATGGCTGGACATGCTGGAGAATTTTTCATTTGGTCTTATGGGTTTAATAGTAAAAAGGAGAGATAATACTCTACAAAAATAGACAACCAAATTAACGACCTTCAGAGATCTTTGGAAACAAATATGAGCTCAGATGAGTATTCACAAATGACGAATTATCTTGAAAACAACTTAAATAGAACTGAGAAAAATGTAATAGCCGTTAAAAGGAGGAAATACCTTCGTGATAAAAATGATTATGCGAGGGACCAAGTTAGGTCGTATTCCAAAAGAAATCAGGAAGAACATCATACTTATTATAGACCCTTTAGACAAATAGAGAGACATGAATCTAGAATAGACAACAGGGAACAGCCTCAGATCCAATTTCAACAGAAATTCATTCCAACAACTCAACAACATAAACCATCTGGTAGACCTAAACCACTGATTACTCCAGAAAAAGTGGTCAGAAGGAAGGAACACAATTATGAGTTAAGGCCAAGATTAAACTCACGCAAGGTAGATCATAGAGAACATGTGTCCTATGAAAGAACTAGACCCATTCCAAAAAAACGAGGATTGATACCCCTTGAAAATAGGTATGAAGTTTTAAATAAATCACCTAGGGAGGAGGTTTTTTGGCGCGCCCACAAAAAAGATCGACACAAGGAGTTGGACAATCAGAGGGGAACACCGGGAAAAAGAAGGAGGAGCATAGAAGAAGGGGAGGTAGAGGAGGAGTTCACATACAGAAAAGAGCTAAGGGACAGGAATCGACATCAAATAACCACGGCATCTTTAATTTAACAGACCAACTTTTGACTGTGGCCCAGTCTAAACTTTTAGCGAAAGGCTTAAATTTTGCTCCAACAAAACCCTTTAATAAATTTGATACTTACATAGACCTCCAAAAATTTAAGAGAAAACTTTGTTTAAAGAAGTTTTTTTCCAAATCCCCGATTACTAGAATAGAAACCAACATTGAATATAGTGAGATCATTCATACAGACCTCAAGGAGGCTTCCTCATTTTTTCCGAATTACTTAGTGTCAGAGGAAATGATTGCCTTTGAAAAAATGGTAATTCGAGATATGAATAAGATAAAAAAAAAACAATAAATACGAACAAAATTTGGGGAATGATGAAATAAAGGCATTAAAAGAATTAAAAAAGGATAACACTATAGTCATCAAACCTGCTGATAAGGGGGGTGGTATAGTGGTAATGAAAACCACAAATTATGTTGAGGAATCCTTAAGATTATTGAGTGATGGGAAGACATACATGAGATTAACTAAAGACCCAACTAAGGAATTTAAAGAGACATACATGAAGTTATTAGATAAGGGAAAAACAATGGGTATTTTAAACGAAAAAGAATTTAAATTTCTAGACATCTTACATCCAAAAATTCCAGTGTTTTATCAACTTCCCAAGATACATAAAAATAAGGAAAATCCCCCTGGTCGGCCAATTATTTCTGGAATAGAATCTATTTCCAGCCGTTTGTCACAATACATCGACAAATGTTTGCAACCAGCAGTACAAAGAAGTCCCAGCCATCTAAAGGACACATTAAGTGTCTTACAAATTTTACAAAATCAAAAATGGGAAGACAACTATTATTTAGTGACGGCTGATGTGAGTTCCTTGTACACAATCATTACACATGAGAAAGGATGTACTGCCACAAAATATTTTTTGGAACTATATAGAGATTTTCCTCAAACTCAGATAGACTTCATTATTGAAGGTATAATTTGGATACTTAATCACAACTATTTTTGGTTTGGAGAAGAGTTTTATATTCAGCAATGTGGGACGGCGATGGGCACCAGGTTTGCTCCCAGTTATGCTAATTTATTTATGTCCCATTGGGAGTCCCAATACATATATGGGAGTCATGACTGGGGGCAGAACCTGGTGCTATATCGCCGCTACATAGATGATATTCTTTTTATCTGGAAGGGAGACGAGATCTCCCTACAAAACTTCTTGATGCATTTGAACACAAACGATTGGGGCATTTCATTAACAAGTGAGTATAGTAAATCTACAATTAATTTTTTGGACTTAAATATATTCATTGAACATGGCCAGATAAAATCAAAAACCTTTTTCAAAAAAGTAGACGTTAACAGTTACATAGAACGGAAAAGTTGCCATTTTTCACCTTGGTTGCAAAATGCACCGAAGGCCCAACTACTACGAGTAAAACGTAACTGTTCAGAAACCCATACATTTGAAACCCAATCAGAAATAATTTTAAAGAATTTTAAAGACAAGGGGTATCAGGAAGACCTTCTAAAAAAGGCGTTTGAGGAAGTACAGAAAACAGATAGATTAAGTTTACTTAAATATAAATCACCTATTGAATCAAGGGATACTAATCAAGTATCATTGATATGTGACTTTAATTCAAAAAGCCATACTTTTAAGAAAATTGTAAATAAATATTGGCCAATCTTAAAGGAAGACCCTCAACTAAACACAATTCTATTAGATCGCCCTAAAATCATTTATAGGGGGGTAAAAAATTTGAGAGACAATCTGGTGCAAAACCATATTAAAAGCAATCAATCTATACAAAATCCATTTAATGAATCCTCAGGATTTTATGGATGTGGCATATGTGGTGCCTGTAAAAATACGGGGAACAAAAAAAGAGTAATTAGGAAATTTATAAACCCTCAGTGCGTTCAAGAAACCCATAATATTAGGGACTTAATTACATGCCATTCGAAAAGAGTTATATATCTGATAATATGTACTTGTAATCTAGGGTATGTAGGTAGGACTGCAAGGCCTCTTCAGGTTCGTATTCAAGAACATATAAGAAATATTAAAAAGGGCTTTGAAAAACACAGCTTGTCCCTACATTTTAAACTAAAACATAATCAAGACCCTACAGAGTTACAATTCATTGGTATTCAATTAGTTAAACCTAATTGGAGAGGAGACAATTTGATAAAAAAAATGGGTCAAATAGAAATGAAATGGATTTTCAATTTAAACACATTGACCCCAGGAGGTCTTAACAATGACTTTGAGATATGCCATTTCATTTAAACCATTTCATTTGTCTTCCTCTGGAGGAGAACTGATCATTATATATGGTACACCGTATAGAGCATGTTTATATGTAAATGAGAATGTCAATAACATGTGGAAATTAAGTAGTTATTCCCTTTTAATTTTAATTTTGGCAATTTCTCTGCTATATATATTTTACTGTCTCTTTAAATTTAGAACAAAACAAGAAGATTAGTGTAGGAATGGCTAAGTTTCTACATGCTGACATTCTCATATAGAAAGTATATGTGATACCATGCACTATATATTTATACGTGTTTATCTTTTTCTTCCCCCCTTTTTTTTTTTTCTATTATTGCCCTTTGTCTACTGAGGATGGAGGCTTCCTCCCTTCCTCTTTGAGGAAGTGTGGGCAAAGACATAATGTACCGCATTTGCCAGGACTTTGTTTGTTCCGAAAGTGACGAGCGGATTTATTCCGCCGCGTCACTTCCGGTTTTCTATTTAGGGTGATTACCCATAAGGAAAATGGCCGCGGCGAACACAGAAGTGACGCGGGGTATGACACCGCGCCACTCCGATTGCCTGAACGGACTTCAGGTGAGGTGCTCCACATCATCAAGAAAAAGCCATCTGATTGGATCACGGAAGTGAAGACCCGCCTACCGGAAGAAAAATACCGGCAAATTTAAACAGCATGAGTTTGGACACAGTGAACCCGATTGAGAAAGCCCACATAGCGTGGGTGAAACGCGTCTCGGAGCTAAAGCCAGATTTGGGATTTTACAGCTACTTTTTGCATAAGTATTTTACTTTGTTTTTATATTTACAATAAATTTGTTATTTTTTATACATATCCCTATTGGCCTTTGGTCCTATCTTGCTGTAAAAGAAGGGTAAGTGCCCCCTTTTAAAGGCACTCAAGTCTACCATCTAGAGCCAGGTTCTCATTGGCTCTGAATCAGGTGAGCACTATCATAATCACTGTCTGTGTACTACCTATTATATACATAGTACACTAGGAGGTCTTCCTCCCTTGTTTTTTCTCTTTTTTCTTTGAGGAAATTTACTCCAGTTAAAGGGTGCAGTGTCTCCATACGATACTAATGCTGAAGAGATTTGAGCCTGTCCTTTTATGAGGCTCTAATCCATGTGAGTTTGACTATTGATATATTATCACAAGATTCCTTCTACTCACGGATTTACACTATATTGTGTTGTATTTCTCTGTTTTATTTGCATGTACATATATACATCTGAAATTGAACCCTAATTAAGGGTAAGTGTGATTGTTCAGCGCTCCACTCACTTGACTAGTACGGTCTGGATTTTTATCCAGTCCATACTGAACTCACTGTGTTTTACTTCCTCCCGCACAGCACTATTTTTTAGCTGGGAAGAAGTGTTTGGCTGTAACTTCCTCGCAGCACTGACATCAATACAGGGGCCGCAGTGCTTATTAGGCCTCTGAGGACACATTGCCATCAGGTGACCCTAAGTGCATGAGCCACCTGATGGGTCCCCTCAGTGCGAAGGCCACGGTGCAGATGCTCAGGCTGCACTGGCAGTAGTTCCACCGCTGGATTATTTTGCACCTATCTATAATCCAATCCCTAATCCTTCCCATTATCCTACTCCAAATCTTGCCCCTAAAACATTCCCTAATTCCACCTCAGATTTCCCAGTTTACACAGTACAAAGGGTTCTATGAACACTCTGTACTCTGTGATTGCAGCATGAGTGGAAGATCTCTCTCTCATGTTGCAGATCCTACACACAGATTGGTGCTGGGAAGCTGGCAAAACAATCTAGGAGCAGGGGGTAAGTAGGGAGACTTCACTAAGGTCTTTTCTGATACGGGGGGGGGAGGGCAATAACATTTTTAAAATGTCTGTGGCTGAGTATGATCGCTCTGCCGTAGTATTTAAAGTACTATAGGCCATGCAAGCTTTGAGCATGGCACTTATCTTTTCTGTCAGTCTCGGGCCACTAATTGTTACTGCAACTGATAGAGGAAACCCAGGGGGGTATAGTAACAAAATAACCCGGAAGAGTGAAATCTAACAGTTGTGGTATTTTAAAGACTTTGAAGTGCTATGCGCAGTGCTCACTTTGAGCACAATGGTGTTCTAGGTATCATGGTGGGCCAGTCCAGCCCCAATGAAGGGGACCTTTCAATCTGACCTTAAACAGACCAGTCTGCCAGACAGCCTCTTAGCTCATATTTGCTCAACCATCCAGTGAGAGCAGCTGAAATACTCTCTGCAAGGTCCTAGTGCCCGCTGCACAGAGAAAGTGTGTCTAATGATGTGCTTGCAATGTTCTTT